TGCCCTCTTGAAAGCCACTGCACAGGGAGTTCTGCCATCATACCTCCATCCTCTATCCGTGACCCTCAAAAACAATGCCCGGGTATACCATAACGCCATCCCACCACCCGCCCCATCATCTCGCCATCATAGCACTACCCCCTCATCGCGGCATCCGACTACCTCCCGCAGCACCCTTGCCCTTCACGATCGGCGGCCCGCGGTTCATCAAGCCCGACAGCCCGAGATCCTTCCACGCGGCCTCCTTCTGCCGCTGCGTCGCCTTGGTGATGCCAAACGCCGCGTGCTGGTCCGGCACCACGTCGTCCTCGTCCTCCGGGTTGATCGGCTGGTGCTGCGGCGGCACGTACACCTCGTCGTCCGGCAGCCTGTCCTTGCAAAAGTCCTCAAACAGGTCGGCGTCGCGCGCGCGGTGCATGTGCACGTACGTATGGCTTGCGTCCTTGTTCTGGTTGGGAGAGGGCGAACGGGTTAGTCTTTCGGCAAGGGGGTCTGCAGAGTTTGGGGGAAGTTCGACGAACCATTGCAGGTTGATCTTATAGACTGGGCTATTTTTGCGGATTTTCAAAGCACATGTGTGTTTGCTCGCGAGGACTAGGAGTTGGTTAGGTTGAAATTGGTGTTGATGTTGACGCCGGACCTCAGCTCCATATGGACCCACCCTTCGGCAGATCCCGAGCAGGGGTGCCTGCAGCCGCAAGCTCAGCGATCCAGACGTCACCTGCAACAACAGTTCAAGGTTTCTTTTTGGAAGAAGGAGCATCATTCAGACATTTTGGGTCACCATGGTTTCGAGGATTGGAAATGATGATTGCATTAATAATTACGGGTTTCCTAGGTCATGAGCGCATCGTCTCTCCATAATGTCCCTGCTGATACTCGAGCAATCACCCTCGCAACATCCAACCGCCAAATCAAGGCCTGCGTACGCAAGGACATCCCCATTCCTCGCAAACCCAAAAACTCTTGGCGAGACATTTCGACCAGAAGCAGAGCCGAGGTCGATATTCTCCAGGAGAGCACGGTTTTTCAACGTGAAAAGGATTGAGGCTGCCGAAAAGGCCGTTGGTGATCATCTCTTGGGAGGCTTTGGTGGAACTGCCTGTGTCGATCTCAGCCATGCCTCCGGGAGCGCTTCCGTCCTCTATTACGCAAGCGCAAGACCAACGCATGCAATGCCCGCGCCAATCAAATTGTACGCACCACAGTCCCTTATGCGCACAGGAGTGATGCAGCTTCCTTCCTGGTGGGCATTTGTCCACCTAGGATGAAGAGTGGGCTTCCGTTGCAGCGATCTCATCTGTGCGGGTGTTGCTGTCGACAAGGCCTCTATTCTGCTTCACGCAGTGGCAAGACCACTTTACGCACCGCCCTCGCGTATCCCAGCCGAGACACCGCCTTCCCTCTGACGCGCAGGAGTCATGCAGCTTGTGCCCGGGCGCACATTCCTCCACCAAGGATGAAGAGGTGGCTTCCGTTGCGGTGAATTCAACTTCGCGGGTGTCGTTGTTGTCGTTGGAGTCTGCAAAGGACTTCTCCATGACGCCCTCAGGGATGGCTTCGTTGAACGCCTGTGCCAAGTCGATCCCGAAGTTGCTTGCGATCATTTGTTTGATCAATTCCGTGGCCCTGTTGAATGTTTCGGACGGTGGGGCTTGGGTGGAATCGTGTTCGGTAGAAGTCTTTTCAATTTCAAAGAATTTGGCGATGTATTCTTGGATGTCAGAGATGATGCCGAGGAGTCCTTGAGGAAGGTCCAAGAATTGAAGCCAATCCACGGCTGAGAGTAGATCATCGATGAAGTCGATGGGGTTTTCAGATAACTGGTCGATTTCCCAGTTGATTTGATCATGGGTGACGCCGATGTAGTGTGAAGCGGTGGACCTGATGATCGCTTTCTTGTCAGGACTGTTATCAGTGCGGCTGTCGGGTGACTTCAAGTCTCTGATCCCAGAGTCAGCCGTTTCGTTCGCATGGTCACTGTTGTCGATGTCATCTTGGTTGACGGCGACGTTCAAGTCGTCGAGGGTGGTGTAGACGAGGTCGGTGATTTCTTGAGGGAACGAGTCGATGGCCTTGCTGGTGCGACCAGAGACAAACATGATGCCTTCTGAAATCGTGGACTTGATACGCTCTTTCTTCTCGGAAAGGCTCTCAGCGTGGCTGTCTGGTGACCTCAAGTCTCTGCCGTCTGGGGAACTCTGGACGGGACTTGTTACAGCGACGGCTGCAAGCGAGAGCAAGGGCATCCACAGAGCGAGCTTGACCATGGTGGGCGTTGTGTGGGTGATGCTTGAAGAGCCGTGCTGCCGTCTGTGGAGCTTGGAAGCAGACGTTGGGCAAAAGAGGGTTGGAAGATGAGGCCTCGGCTGATGCGGGCCGGCAGACGAAGTTTGGAAGACGAAGCTGCTGTGATAGAAGATTTGTTGAGTGGTTGATGCTGCAAAAAGGTATGATGGTTGGGGATGTGAGAGATGAAGTTGAAGAGATCTGGGCACTGGCGGGGTCGAAGGCGGTTATTTATAATCCATCACCTTGCCGTCGAGGGGGCTCGCGGTTGCCTGTTGCAGACGATCGGCGAGACTTCCTGCGGTAGGAAGCCTGACGCTGCCTTCCATGAGTGGTGTCGAGAGGCTTCCAGGAAGGCATCATGACGTTGGAAGAGGCAGAGAAACCGCCGACAGCAAGGTACGAGGATCACCAGTGGAGAGATGATCGGCCGAGAGACTTGTGATCACGGGGTTGAAGGAAAGAGCCACTCTACGGAAAAGGGGGAGGAGGGCATCGACCAGAGCAACTGCGTTGGCGATACTGGCCATGGCAAGGCAAGAAGCGACTGCCGTGAGGAGTGAAGCGATAGGAACCTGTCAAGGTGGGAAGGCACCCGAGTCTCATGGGGTATATGTCGTTGCATCGTCTCGGTCCCATGGGAAAGTGGAAGTTGGAAACAGTGACCCATCGTGGAAGGTGGACGTATCTCTTAGGAGGGCAGTCATGGGTGAGCCTAAGAAACACTTTCCAAGTGCCTTACCTTCTTGATGCCAAAGGCAGGAGGGTTCTCGGTAACTACCAGAATAGCCATCTGAGAGTCCCTCTAGCCACTGCGCCTAAGGTACTCTGCGTTCTCCTGCATCGCGAGACCTCCTGCTTGGAATCCGCTCCTGGGGCGGTGTCCTTGCTGCGCTCAGCCCTTCCGCCTTCTTCCACACATCCAGCTTGCCTCCTTGACATTGGGCTGGCCCAGTCCAGTCCAGTCCAGCCCAGCCCAGCCCAGTTGATCCGAGAAGGCATTCCAGATGATACCTGCTATGTTGGAAAGGAGAAGAGTCAAATCCCGTTTCGGCAATTTGGACCTGCCATTCATGTTGCACGGCCGTGGTATGTGAACCATGGTCGGGGATCGCCACGGAAATCATGGGCCATGTCGAGAAACGTCAAGCTCCAGTGAGAAAGACAGTGAGACACATGCGCGTGAATTATCGCTATCGAGTTGACATTGCAGAACTCCTCGGTGCAGTGTGATAGTGGCTTCCAGTTCACGGATGCAGCCCAACCCTACTCGCCAAAGTGGCTTACTTGAGGTCCCTCGGCCGCTGTCTCGGACATCACAGAGACTCTTTCAGTTATTTTGAAGACATGCCCATATGCAAGCCCACGGCCTCGCGCGTGCCTTTCAAAAGATCTTGTAGACAATGTTACCCCTAGCGGCGTTTCCCAGTACCCAAGCCAACCCCCCCTCGGGAACAATTCCTGGAAAGCAATGATGGCATCAAGACAAGTCCATCGAATGGAAGACAATATACGTGTAGATGTGCGAAAACATACTATGATTGCAGAATTTTACAAACCAAGATTCTACGTGTCGTGACTGGCGGCAGCAGGGCTCTTCAGCTGCTCCTCAGATACCCATATTGAAGGCACTCTCAAGGTCTAGACTCGATCTCCTCCCGGACCTCCTTCGGAAGGCGCGCGTCTTCCCGCCAGACAAATAGTATCGCCGCAGCACCACCGATGACGACCATGACAGCAACGCTAACGATGGCAACGACGGCACGAGTATGAGTCTCCATGATGATTGTTTGACTCACCTGATATAAAAATGATGATTTGGTTTATTTCGTGGAGGCGCTGGGTTTATCGGGTTTGCCCCTGAATCTGGCGATGTTGGTGATAGTGGATCGTGAGTGGTTTATCGCAGAATACTGAAGTCGAATAACTTGTCGAATACCTGCGTATACCAGATTCTCAAAATCCTTGTTTGTTGTTTTTCGTCTGGTACCAAGTTTGCCTCATTCCTCTCCTCCCAGTCACCCAAACCATCAGCTCATCTAAATACCACCCACAAACAAAGCACCCTCATCCCAAACACCACCCCAGATCCCACACAAACCACCCACAAAGACCCCTACTCAAAATTCTTTCTTCCCCTTCAATATCTTCACAAAGCCAGCCCGCCCGCCTAGTCACAGGCCATCTGTGAAGAACCAGACCGCGCTGGGACCCAGCTCGGTTGTTCACCACCAGCCTCGCTCCCGCACTTTCCCACCCATAACAAAGCTATTGTCCCACCTGCATCTCACCTCTTCTCGAACTTGTGAACAGACTCACAGTTGTTCAGTCCTCGACCCTCGAAGACCTGCTCTAGGCCTTCTGTGAGTAGTGACAAAAAGAAAAGCGCATATATCCATCCGCGCGCAAACGCCAGCGCTCAAAAGGAAGACTTCTCCTTTCCCTCCTCCTATCCCACACGAAAATCAACAATCACAAAATCGGCGACGCAATCTAAGAAGTAAGTGACTTTTTTATCTTATCTCCCAAACTAACGTGGTTTCTCACTTGAGAAAAACAGACGCAGCGCTTTCAGACCAGGATAGTGGTTCACCTGAACAACAGACCGAGGACGCGCGCGCCTCGTTTGCTCACAAAACCAACCCAATCTGGCGATACCCTCACCACACACCACACCAAACCAACCTCACTCGAGGCGAACTCCCATCACAATGTCCGACTTCAGGTACCTCCCCTTCCCGCTTCCCGCTGATGCGACCCTCACACTCACCACCACAATCACCAGAGACCCCTCCACCCCCATTCCAACAACCAGCACACCTCCCTCGATCACAACCGCCTCCCTCCAAGACCCCTCCCGGACCCTCTCCATCACCACAATCACACTCCGCGTCACAGACACCCCGTCCAACTCTAGCAGCATCGTCCTCAGTACCATCGCAGCATCCCCCTCCTCTCTGATTCCCACCCCTACCCCCTCGAGACCAGCCCACAAGCCCGCAGTCCGAGGCGACATCACTCCCACATTTTACATCCTCGCCCTTGTCCCCATCCTAGTGATGATCCTATGCGCCTACGAATCCTACACCCACCGCAAGATCGACGCCAAGCAGAAGAACATCACCACCACCAGGGCCGCCGCCCCTCGCAACCACCCCAATGGCGACATCGAGCTCCAGGATCTCTCCACCGCCCCCGCGGCCCCCCTGCGCCAGTACTGGTGGTTCGAGGACGACACCGTCACAAACCAGGTAAGCACCGACACCGACGACCGCGGCGCGCCCTACAACTCCCTCTGCCACCCGCGCCCCCCTATCCCCCTTCCCTCCCTCTGGACAGCCTCCTGGTGGCCGTACAGCCGCGGCAGCGGCCAAGGCCGTCCCCACGGGACGCTCCCGGGCTGGGGCAGGCGGCACACCTTCTCCGAGTGCGGCTCGTATCCCTCCACCTTCGACCCGTCCCGGCCTCGCCTCGGGCTCAAGTTCGAGCCTCTCACACAAGAGGTCAGGAGACGGGGGCGGAACGGAGGAGGAGGGGAGGTCTACTCGCGCCGCCTGATCGTGGGCCGTGACGCCGACGGCGTGATCCAAATCGTCATCCACCCCCGCCCCCCAGCCAAACCCCAAGACGATTCCCAACTAACTCTTGTCCCTCCTCCCAGGCCACCGACACCGCCCCCGCAGCCGCCGAGACCGACCTCGTGCCCTCCCGGCCTTCCACCCCCGACTGGGCCGCCGGAATCCCCTCGTACTACAACAATGGCCGCTCCCCGACCCTCAACTACTCGTCCTCCGTCTCCTCCTGCAGTTCTACCTCCGTCGCCGACGTGGATATGATCCCGCCTGGCATGAGCGCCAAAGCCGCCGGCAAGCTGCCCGCCAAGCCCTAGAAGGGCAAGGCTAAGGCCAGCAGCAGTGGCAACAGTAACAGAAACGAGGCTACCACAGCCGCGGCCGCCACCGGCACCGGCCAGCCCACCACCACCACCACGGCTGCGACGTCTCGGCGCCCGAGAAACGTCGCCGCCGGCGAGGGCTCATCCTCGTCGACCGACGCATCCCAGTCCGCGGACGCGCCGAAGAACCTCCCGCCCCGGTGCGACACCTGCAAGGCGTGGCCGCTCATCGAGTGGCCCCGTCTCTGCACCTCCTGCGGACGGGTCGTCTAAAGGCCAAGCCCACAGACACAAGAAACCGGCAGAACGAGGGAAGAGGAGCAACAAACCGCCATCCCTACCCCTGTCATGCGTGTGCGAGAAAGAGAGCCGCATCTCGAAATCTCTCCGTCCGTCTTGGCTCGTTCCATCTGCATTTTGTCCAAGGTGGGCAGGAGCACCGACCAGGCGCATCTACCATGCTTACCGCTTTTGTCGCAGATGGGGGAGAAACCCAAACTATACCGCAGATGGAAGAACGATGCGTCCTCGTACTTTGGATGAGCGAGGGAGACAGGGGTGAGAGAGAGAGAGAGAGCATCTGTAGGCTACACTGTACAACTTTGGACGGGGATAAGCAAGATAGCAAAGAGCAAAGAGAATCAAGATCCAGGCAAACACCCCGCGGAAGCCAGCCAGCGTGAGAACCATCGGGTACGAACCGCGGATCCTCTAACACTCGTCGTTATACTTCTCTCCCTTCCCTTTCCGAGATCTTGGATGAAGGAAAGAGATCCCGTAAACTCTGAGACGGGAAGGTAAGGGGAAGGGAAGACTCGAACTCAAAATCTTGTCTTGGAAGGACGGAAAGACGGTTGGGATGCCGTCCGCTGGGTGCGTCCCAGAAGATCAAAGCATGAATGGGCGAGTGCCGAGGTGGAGTGGCCTATCAACTGTCAGCTATTGTTTTGTGGAAAAGGGTCTACCCCAATAAACGTGCGTTGTTTCAAGTCAATCACTTTGGCCAAAACACATCAGAGGAGGGATGACCCTGACGACAAACATCGGGAGTGGTGTGCAGCGTGAGGAAAAGTGTGTGTTAACCAAGAAATGGGAACAGCCCGTCGGCCAGAGCGCTTCTCGACCGCGGGCTGCCCTCTGAAACTCTTTGATTGCTCTTCTCTGATACCCTAATGCAATAGAGCGGCCGTCTAATAGTAGCCGGACAATAAGATCCCATTCCGCAATAATCCCATTTTTCTCACAAACCGCAGTTGTCGCAAACTGCATGCTTCCTTCCCAAAAAACGCTGTTGTAGAAGCGCCCCAATACCCTTGTACAAAAAGTGCTGGTGCTGTTCTCCCCTGCTGAGAATTGAAGTAGGAAAGCCCTTGCTCCTGCTCCTGCGAACGCGGACACGAGGTGGTGTCTCGCGCCCAGTTGCCCCAATAGCCCATCCCATGGTCGCGCGTATCACGGCTACGAGAAGGGTGGGTTGCTCCCTTATTGTAGGATACTGAATCGAAAAGTGCCGCTGCTCGCTCGCTAGTTGGTTGTCCATGCAATTGACTCCGAAAACGCCTGTTCATTATGGTTGGTCCGTTACCGCCCGTTCTTTGGTGACTGGGCTCGACAATAGAAGAATGAAAACAGAAAGCCCCCGATGTGGCCGTCGGGGCCTGGTGAAAGTGTAGAAGTCGTTGTATATAATACAAGCTGAAGGGAAGGCGACTCGAATGTACGGCGTCGGATTTTGACTGGGTATTATCCGAGTATGTTCGGCTTGATCCGTGGGTTGGTTAGATGATGATCCGCACCCCGTGGGCATTCCGTGGGCAAGGTTTGTTGCTGTTGCAAGTGCCTCGCTTATCTGTTGCTGCTGGTATCGCCCCAGATGGGTGCGCCGAGGGGCTTGCTGACACCAAAGCCAACACCGACGCCAACACCGATGACGAGGAGGCCGAGAGCGATCTTGGTGATGATGCGGTTCTTCTTGCTCATTTTCGCCATGCAGGCGCAGGAGCTGCGATCTCTCTGACGCTTGGCAGCCTTCGCCCTAGCCTTCCAGTCCTGCTTCCCCGGCCATATCGTGGGGCAGTCTGCCTTGGTAGTGGTGATGGTCTTCATGGCGTAGGGGTCGGAAGAGGAGGTGGCCGTGATCATGGCCTCGATATCGGTGTCAAAAGGGTTCTCATTGCGGTAGGATCGTGGGGTGGAGAGGTTGCTGTCGCGGTGGAGGTCGAGACTCTTCTCGGGGGTCGTCGTGGGAACGGGCGTCAAGTTGGCAGAAGGGATACCCTCGGTAGTGGTGGTGAAGGCCGCCTTCTCGGGGACGGAGATGCTTGCGACAGTCGGGTCGACCGTCGTCTTTTCGACGGTGGCAGCCATTGCGAATTGCTCGGGGGAGAAGCTGGCGAGCCTGCTAAGAATACGATACTCGGTGGTGCTGTGCTTGTGTAGAGGTGTTCGACAGAAGGATTCAAGCACCCCAAGATGTCTGTCCCGTTGTTGAAGAAAAGGAGACTAGACAATTGCCAAGAAAACGCTGCTGGGCAGACTGGGAGGCGGGTTAGTCAGGGCATGGCGAGGTTAAAGTATGAATCAGCGGCGGAAAGGTTGGGTTGCACAACAGGATAAGGGTGAGGCGTTTTCTTGGGGAGGCAGGTTATGCAAGGCAGGAATTGAGATCAACGCAGACCCAATTAGGAGAGAGGATTGGGTGACGTACAGTAGTAGACACGGCAGGTACTCTGCAACAGCTCGAGGAACACGGAGTGGTTGTTTTCTGGTGGCAGGAGAGGCAGACGGTGCTCAAGCAGCGCAAGTCCAGCGGCGATGGCCTGATATCAACCCACTCGAATGGTCCCAGCCAGAAGGTGAGGAGACGGCGCGGTTGCAGTCGCAGAGGCAGATGACGGCCGGGGGCGAGGAGCCAAGGCGAATTGTCTTTCCAATGACGGGTGTTTCTCTCCAAGTCAAGGCCTACGGAAGGGGCCTTGTGATGTCAACCGGGGGCTGGTTGGCACGCTGGAAGGGAGGATGCGAGACAAGCACCCAAGAGAGAGAATAAAGGGAGGAAGATGTCGAGGGGAGAGAGGTCGATAAGGCGGCTGAGGATGGAGGGAAAGAGGTGTTGAAGAAGGTCGAGGACGAGAGCAAGACCGACGACGAGCACAAGCAGGAAGAGCTGCCTTGTTGAAGGGTGTGCCTGTACGAATAAGGGACTGTGTGCAAGCACGACCCAGATGGCGGTTGATGTGGATGGAGGACTGGGGGGCGTTGAAACCAGACTGCAAGGCCGTTCAGCAGTGCAGGGCAGTTGGGACGGGACGACCTTCAACGAGAACTTGGCGGATTCGAAGAGACGACGCGACGGGAAGAGGGAGGGAACAATAGGAAAGCAAACGTGCACGGAGGGGAGGGTGTCACGATGGTTTTATTGGGGATGTGAATGTGGATGAGGAAGGCATAGCATAGTGAAGTGCATGGTAGGTACATTGGGAGTGAGTGGATTAGTGCCAGTCGCATGGCGGCAGCAGGTACACGAATACAAGCTCCAGTGCGATGGATATGGCTGTTTGGCTGTTGGGGACGCCTGTAAGAGGCAGAGACACTGCGAGTACGGGATAGAGCGACTGACTACTGAAACCTGGGAAGGCAGACAACCAGAAACGGGTGTGAGAGAGAACGAGCGAGAGAGAGTGCGCCGAGCAGAGAGAGAGAGTGAGGGTGAGGGCCGTGGAGTGACAGACATGGGATGGAGAGCAAGAGAGAGAGAGATTGTGGATGCACCATACCCTGTCGGGTACGTACCTGCCTAGGTGGTCCCTCTCTCTGTGGCCCTTGGATCAGTGGATGGACCACGACCCAGACCGGGGACAGCGGTGGCCCCGCTGTTCGCTTGGGGTGGCAGCCGGGGGCTTGCTGGGGGCGTCTCAATGGGAGTGGGAAGATGTGAATGGAGCCAAGATTGCATCTGCAGGGGACTCCTCTCTCTGTCAGTCGCTCGCCCTCTCTCTCTTTTTTTTTTTTTTTTTTTTTTTTTTTTTTTTTTTTTTTTTTTTTTTTTTTTGTCTTTTTTTTCTTCTCCCTCCTCTGTTAGGACTGGCGGCAGCTGGCAATGTCCAAGTCCACGTCCACGTCCTTACGGGCGGTGCACTAGCAATTAGACACCCACGGCCGCCAGCAGATGCACAAAGACATTGGGAGATGCAACGGGAGGCCAAGACCTGGTGGCTCCCCTCTGGACTGATTTCTCTTCTTTTTTTTTCTCGTGGAATTTTCCGGGGCCCTTGTTGTTGAAAAGCTTGGACTCCTCCTCCTGGTGCGGCGACAGCGAATACGTCGAGAATACGCGCACTGATGCTGAGCTGAGCTGAGAGATGCGATGTCTGATGTGATGCGATGCGAGTATCCCGTATCTGTGCAGTCTGCCTGGCCTCGGCTTGAGCTTCTGTACCTGAGAAGTCGCCGTGTCTATTTTATTTTGCTTCCCAGCTAGCCCTGAGGAAGGTTTCGTCGCCTTAGCTAATCTTTGAGCTTTTGGAATACGCCAGTGAACTTTCTTCCTTGCTTCCCTGTCAATAGAGGTCGATTGCCTGACTCCTGAGGCGCTGCTGCCACCGACACACCACCTGCTCTCTGCATCTCCCGTAAATCGGATTCGACAGCGATACGTACCCTCTCGTCTATCCCACCCAAGTGCTGGCTGTTTGCTCCAGTGGATGCGCATCCATTTCCAAAATGGTTCGAGCAATAATGGAGCTTGTCGTCCAGCTGGACTGGGGTTTCGACGCTGGATCTTCGTCCATTGTCCCTGTGCCCTTCTTCGATTGTCACCTCAGACCTGAGAGGCGCGACGACCAGTCCAGACCGCCACTGTCAGTCGCTGCAAGCAGGACCGTCACCACCACCACGGTAGAGCTGATCTACTTTAGTGTCTCTGTGTAGGTAGACAGGCGTGACGGGCCGCAGACTACAGCAGCAGCTAGACCTCGACAGCCGAGGAGGGGGCGGACAAGCACAACGCCAACGTCCACGCGACCAGCAGCAGACCAGATGAAAGAGTGGCCGTGTCTTGGTCCTTAGACTCCACGACTCCTAGCGACGATGATGGACCAAGACGACATCGGCAGACTGCGCCGGCCAGACCCCCGCCATGCGCCCAAAAGGCCAAATCAAGTTAGCCGCAAGTACCTCCCACTGCTTGCTTGCGGGGAAGTGACCTCGCAAGCCAGTCAAATCGGCATCTGCAGGGTATTGTTGGTGCTGCTGGACTGTCACCTGCGGTTCTGGCGACGACGAGGGCAACGACGAGGGGCAACCGGTGAGCCCAAGACTTTCTTCGTCGTCTTCTCACTTCTTCCCCTCCATGTTCATGTTCGTGCGCACAGGTCTGCTGAAGGGCGAATTGAGTTAGGTCTGTGATGACTGGGCCCAAAAGTCAAACCACCCACCCGGTCGACAGGTCGAAAAGTAGGCGGCCACACGGCCTACCTGTCCATCGCGGCAACCAGCTGGAAAGAGGAAAGGGCCACCGCCAGCAGGCCAGCAGGCCATCAGCCACGGGTCTATGCTGGTCAGTCACAGTCCCTTCAGTGGCAGGAGCAGACCGGCAAATGCCATGGTCGCAGTCTCGATCACCACGCACGAGGCAGGCGACGCCAGAGACGGACGAGATGGCGGATGGCGACTTCCTTCAATGCCTGGAAAGAAGACACAGCTGACAGGCACGAGCACGGCACAGGCACAAACACGCAGGTGCAGGTGCTGGTGGTCGCACTTGGGGAAGAAGGTTGCAGTAGCGGTTGCAGTGGATTGGACTGGCAGACAGACTGGTTCGCGCTAGAGGCAGGTACGTACTTTTCTCGAGGATGGACACCCCTGCCCCCAGCAGGTGCAAGCCCAATCTGCATTACCGTTTTTGGTATGGCTTCCTTTTATGAAAGGCCCCCGCCAGCGGCACCTTCCATGCGCATCTCAACACGTCTGATTGGCCCATCTGCCCCGTCCCTCTGGTGCTGTGCGGGTGGCGGGCCCACTCCCTCCAGAGTTATGCCTTTCACAGTTAGTGTCAGCCGCACAAGTCGCAGTGCCTCGCTCAATTCAATTCATCCTCTTCGTCGCCTCCTCCACCCAGAATTCAGAATTCCATCCACCCTGCCTGTTCGTGCCGTCCCCTCTTCTTCACATGAATCGTCGTCATCTCGCTGTCTCCTGGCCTCTGGTTGGCAGCTGGCTGACTACAGAACACCTTTACAGCACACTCAGCACTACCTACCCCTCCATTCAAGCACCCAGGCTGCCACCACGAAGTACGTGCGCAACAGCTCAGGTCCTCCAACGAGGCACTGCAAAGACTAAGGCTGGTTCGCCTCCTCTGCGATGGCTGACTGACTGAGACACAGACATTGAGATGGACAAACAAACCTACACAACACTTCAGCGGCCCAGCCAAACCAGCCACTGCCGCCGCCTGTCAGTCATCGTCTGCGCCGCTCAACTGCCAAGATGACCCGTCAAAAGCTTACGGCGAAGCCACCGCAGCGGCGTGAAGGCTACGCACACTGCGTACGCAACAGACGAGACATTCTTCCCATACAAACTCCAACCCAGACAAGACCAGATCCCTCCGTCGCACGATGGACAAGAAACCATCCAGCTCCAAGCCACCTCCAGTGACGAAGAACAGTCCAACGTCACGGTAGAGTATCCCAATCGTTCCCGTTCTCGTTCTCGGTCTTGTCGTCCCCAGCAACCCAGTACACTACCTGCTATGGGCAGCACCGCGATGCGATGCGATGCACGATCCGCAACTGGGCTGGGGCGCCTTTCCATTTTCCCCGTCAGTACGGATAGAAGACCCGTTCTCATCGAGTCCATGCCTCTTTGAGCCTGCCCGTGGAAACATCAACGACGGCGGACCCCTCTTTCTTGTTATCATGCATCTCCATCTGCCATATGCCATCTGTTCTACGGATGACTTCATTCCATATCGGCATCGCAAGTCCAGGGCAGCTTTCTCATGCTTATGCTCACGCTCGTTGCATTGAGCACTTACACAGCCTTACCCCGGTTTGTTTGCCTGCAGCACGGTGGGCGCAAAAAGAGCACAATCCCTGGCTACCTCTCGCCTCTGCCCTGCTTGAAGGGTCGCGACAATGATGGCAGCAAGTCAGGATGCGCATTCTGTCCCATGGCATTGGGAGTTCCATCCTCCTGCAGCCTGCCCCTTCTCGTCGTCTCTCCATTCGCTGAAGAGCACGCTCGGTTCCTAATTGGGTCTTTTGGGCCATCCGGCCGAGTCTACGCTTCCCCCGTTCTTTACTCGTCTCTACACGTACGAATAGACTGCCTATCTCCTCCTCTTGGTCTACCCCTTCACATGGGTTCGTATTGCGCTCCTGCAGGCTCCAATTCTTCATCCTCTCACTCAACCAGTCTCACGCCAAGTCTCAGTCTCACTCGTTTACGAACACTCGCTCTCATTCAAACCCAAATCTTGCAAGAAAAATCGGAGCAAGTGGCCAACGGCAAAGACGTTCATCTACCCCCCGGCTCGTTGGTGATTTCTACGTCCACGTCCCGCTTCAACGGCAGCGGCCAACAGGCATGGTTCATGGGTGGTGCATCTGCTGTTCATACCGGCTCTCCCCACGGCATATCGCCCCAAATTGAAATCATGAGCGACAGCAGCCAATCCGTCCCCCTGCTGCTCGCTGCCGCCGCGTCTGCACTGCTATTTTCCCCCATCGCTTGTTACAGGACCCATCTTGTCCCATTCACCCATTTTATCCCCTCTCTCACCGTGCACCCCTTTTCCTGTCGTTGGACTCGTTTTGCCCCTGCCAATCACCCGTCTTTTTTTCCTCTGCTCCGCTCTGCCTTGACATGGCCATGACTCTGCCGCATTGACTGGAAATGTTCATCATGTTTGCGAAACAACCCTGGACTTTACGTCTTCGTTGTCTCTGGATGAGGCAGACCAGACCCAGTGTTCAGTTTACGGCCCCCAGTTGCGCCCTGTTCGCTTGTCTCGCTTGACGACTCCTTCTCCCTGCGTCAATACTTTCTTACCGTGGGCAATGGCGCACCGCTTCCTTTTTCTTTTTCGACGCTGTGCAATGACGGGACGGCAGTAGAGACAAAGCGCAGATTTTCAAAGTGACATGATTGACGGGTACCGTTGGACGCAGTCGCGCAGTAGCGTCGGCTGTCAATGTCGCATCTAAACATTGCTCACATTTTGTTCTAAAATTGACTTGACTGAGAATGATACCAAAAAACAATGGAGAGGAGAGAGATAGAGAGACAGAAACCACACCCCCGTGTTTCGTTCTCGCTCTCGCAACCTCCACTTGCTCAACGGCCGCCCGGCGCGGCTTGTGCCGTCTGGAACTTGGACGCGGTTTCTCGTTCCTCCACCCGCGTACTGCGTACTCTGCAATCGCAGTCGCAATCCTTGATAGACAAGCCGGGCGGTGCTGGAACATATTGGCTCTCCACATACGAAGAGAGAAAAAACGCCCAACATGATAATCGTCATCATAATTGACCACATACGAGCCCGGGCGCATTGTCATCAATTCGCATCCATCCCTTGGGAGCATCATCTCTGCCGTCATCGCGGATACGTGTATTCGTAAAGGGGAGGAAAACTTGGCACACCGTCCTCTCTGCGTCGTCTCCGCGGGAGGAAACTTCGTATCATTGACGTCCTTCCAACATGCTCTTCCCCATCAACCATGTGGTTCCCGCCCATTCACCAGTGCCCTTCCCCCTTTCGAGCGCAGATACGCTGGTCGCCAAGAGCAAGCTAGGGACCCTTCCGTGCCAAGGCACAATCAAGTTGCAAAGCTTGTCTGGCCTGCCACGGTGCGTGTATCCAGCGCCGACGGGCCTGATCAACGGTGGTTCGCCGCTCGGTGGCTCTCTCCTCTCCAGTTCTAGGGGGGGTGCCAGGTGGTCGTGATGTTCAACTATTCCTGCCGTTCGGTCAATTTCCCTCATTGCAGAATGATATGCCCGAGTCGATGCAACCTCGACGCCGCCAGCAATTGGCCGAGACGCCGCGACAGCGCAACGCCTGTTTTTGGAGGACGCCGGCCGGTAACAGGTAGAGGAGCAGGTGATGGGCCCTCTGCCCGGTATGCACACCTCACCGTCCAACGCGCACCGGCAGGCCTCCTCCTCCTCCTCGGGCCTTCTAAAGGGTGTTGAGCAGCACTCCAAAGACAGACAACCCTCGTCGTGGTCGCCGAAAATCCAGATCCCATACACGGTAGCCGCTAATGCAAGGCACATCCAACCACAGGCCACTGAAGTAACACCCTTACAGCAGGTAATGACCATCCACGACCACGGTGCCAGCTTGCCCAATCGCCGTAGAGGCACACCGTTAGCCAAGAAGCTACCGCCGTGGTGGACGACGCGACCACGCCTGTTGAACGAGACCAAAGGAGAGACAGCACTTCCTTTGTCGCCTCACCCGCTGGACTGGGGCGGTCAGTCCCGCGCCGTCCCCTTCTGGAGCCAAGTCCGGCTTGGAGAAGCTCCAAGAGATCTCTTGGGATGGATGGGCGCGCTTTTCCGGGCCTTGGCTAAAGCACCACATCCTATTTCTTCCGGTGCACACACACACACTCACACCAACAGGTCGCATTTTTGCTTGAAGCTAGTGTTTGTTCTATGCAGAAGCTGGAATGTGGGAGGTAGGAACGCCGAAGGGTTGGGTTATCACGATTTCTGTGTCACCATCTGGGCGGCGGTGGTGGTTCATCCCCCAAAAGGCTGGCCTGCCTGCCTGCCTGCCTCCTCGCCACAGGTTCATGCCGCTGCACTGCTGCCCATCCTGATCGGATTTCCCACCTGTGGCAGGCCTGTAGGCTGACCAGCATCATGACCGCACCTCTAAGCGAGCAAGCAAGACCAAAAACAGGCGAATTCCAGTATTGGGGTTTGCGAGGAGGGAGGGGCGAAAAAGCACACTTCTCTGCCGCGACTCGCGCACTGCAGCAGCTATTATCGCTAAGTCCGCGGGGAAAGGGTTCTCGAAAAATGTCGTCCCAACATGCTGCAGCCGGCTAAACAAACCAGGCCAACGACCCGGTGCAGCAGCAGCTTCAGTCCGGCCGCCGCTGTCGTCTGATGCCAGGTTTGCTCCTGTTCACGAGAGACCGGCGGTTGT